GGGTTTGTAATACAGCCATTTTTCAGAACATTACCCATTTTGTAAATATAGATGATTTTTGGCGGTAAGAAAATTCTTGCTTTCTACTTTGGTTCCTGTGATTTTAATATGTGTAATACCAGTTTAGTCATTCAGAATCTTAAATTTTCCAGTGTTAGGCAAGTTTCCTTGAATAAACAAAGGTGTGAATTTTAAAATACAGTAGTTATTCTGCAGTAACTCCATGCATGGGCATTCTTAATCTGGATTAAATAACTACATGGGAAGGTGTTGTGGAGTGGCAGTCTTGATCAGTTTTCCTGTGTAGACAAGCCTATATTAAAGTTCCCTCTTGCACATTTTTATGATACTTCAATGATGTAAGGACACTGAATTGCTGATCCTGAATTCTCTTATTCTGTTGGAAATGTAGATGTTAAAGCCAATATGACCATCCTAATTTGCTTTATTTTCCTTTGTGAAATGCTTTTGATGAAATTAAGGTTGAAAAGCATTGTGAAAAGGCTTATCATCAGGATTTGGGTTGAATCCAGTATATATGTTCTTACAGTCAGTTTTCAAATAATAAATTTCAGGTTGGGATCTGAAATTTTCCATATTCAGTCTTGGCCCATATTGTTGTTTTGAGAGACAGAAAAAAATTCTTCTGGCATCACTAGCTTCCTGAATTCTGTGGGGTGAAAAGAATTCCTCTAATTTTATATAAAATGAAATTGCTGCTTTTTTTTTTTTTTTACTATTGATATAATCAGCAGTTGAATCTTATAATACCACATTCTCAGGATGTCTATTTAGACTCTTCATGAAAATAAGTTCCAAGCATAAAAAAAAAAAGGTTTTGCATGTTTTAAATTGGAATTTGATATCAAAAAGTGATTTTGCAGCTGATGGCTAACTACTCTTCACAGTCCATACCTACTAAAGTCTGTCTCGGCTGGACTCTGGACTGAAATGAATATGCACTTTGACAAGGAGGAGCTCCACAGAATAAAGGAACCTGCCAAATTCCAGTAATCTAAATCTCCTAGTTTTTTGTTTTGCGTGTGAGGGGTGAGCAACAGAGGTAGAGCTGATGACATTAAAATACAAAATCTCTCTTGGTGTAGCGTTTAAAAACTAGGGGTTGTACTGATTTAGATTTTGAGGACTGATACCGGTAGCCAGTATTTAAGGAGGCATATAGGCCGATTATGATATCGGATACTGCTGCCATCAGGTGGTAAGTCCAGTGTTCTGGAAGGGGAGGGAGGAGGGAAGGGGCATGGTGGGGCAGATCAGTGCCCCCTATGGTGAGGGAAGCGTTAGCAGCAGGTGCTGCCCAGCCGGGGCGGGGAGGGGTACAGGAAGGAGGCGTGTCTTGTGGGGTGTGGATGGCTCCTACCACTGCTTGCACCCTGGCCAAGCAGGCGGAGCGTTCAACTGGGGCTGCGCCGGGTGGCGGTGCAGGGCTGGGAGTGAAGCTGTGGTGAAACTTGGGGTGGCCGCAGCCTCCTCCTAGCACCTCCGTGCCCAGTCCCATGCAGCGCCGGCTCTGGCTCCACCCTGCAGCTGCAGCCTGCCCTGCGCCACGCAGATCTGGGGGCACATGCTTCCCCTGCCCCCCTATCACCCTCCTGGGGTGCAAGCAGCAGCAGGAGCCACCCCCACCCTACAAGACATGCCAGTGTCCCAGATGCCCCATCCCGCACCTGCCCCTGTCCCCTCCCTCACCAGGGTGGCATTGAGCTGCCCCCGACGCCCCTTCCCTCCCCTTCCAATTTACCAGCTGGAGGCAGCCCTTCATGCTGCCGGTTCTGCTCCATGCTGCACTGTGGCTGCGTACAGCATGGTTATTTATCGGCCAAATTATCAGCCCCAATGGGGCTGATATCTGATATAGACAATTTTCTTTTATACCAGTACCAGTCCAATATCGGACTGATGTATTGGTGCACCTCTATTAAAAACCAAAAATGAAAACCCTGAAATTAGAAATGTGAAACTTATGATAGCAAGAAATCAAAATGCTCTTGTCGTCTACACTACTGTTTCATAAACAGAAAATGTTTTTGTACCTTGCGTGAAGGTAGTGTCTGTAATATTGCTATGCTTTGTTTCTGCATTTTTGGGGCATACAAAGGTTAACTTGCTCAGTTTAGGACTCCGCTGTAGTACCTGACTCTGACACATTGGATAACTTTGTAATTCTTGGTATTTGACCATAAAGTTAAGGGCAGCTTAATCAAAGTACTAGACCTTTTCATATCAAGAGGTAACATTTTATCTTAAAAGTGGAATTGCTTTAGAAGTTGCTTTACTGTTTCTTAATCTCTTTTAAATGTCACTGGTGTCTTTTATTTAAAATTACTAAAATGCTTGTAAGTTAATGCCTTCTACAGAAATCCAATGGGAGCTTTTATAGTTGACTTCTGCTTTGCTTCTTTAAGGGTTTCCATTCTATCATATTTTTTATCGTGGGAAATACTTTTTGCCCTTTGGTTTAGTTTTTAATATCTGTAAATTTAATATCTGTAAATCTGTAAAATTTCTGTCATCAACCAATTTGCTGGGGTCCTAGAGTTTTTGGAAGGAGGGTGGTGGGTGACTCGAGCAGTCCTGTCCTTGTTCTTGTTGAATCTGATGCATGTATTTTAATAATTTCAGAGGTCGCAGCAGTGGCAAAGGCCCACCTCAGCCTACAGTAAGTACACGTTTCTCATTGTATTGTCTTAAGGTACAAGGAATGAGTTGCTAAATTGAACTAGGTGCTTCAGGAAGATAGACCTAAATCTGCTTATTTGGCTTCATTTTAGGGAGACTGTCAGATGTCAAATAATTCCTTTTAATGTATTTCTGGATAGTCATGACCTCCACAAACAAAGCGTTGCATAATGCTTGGTCAAGTATTGGGTGATTAGAATTGCAGACTTTGCCTTTGTTAATAGATGTCTCCCCTAAAAACATCAAAACACTGAACTTTAGAAGCCAAATTTTTTCTATGTTCTTGGTAGCTGTACCATACCTGTATGTACTAGTAGATGCATAGGTGTTGCAAGGGACAATGCCTCCATATTTTTTCCTGTTTGAGGCCTGTAACAATAGATCATTCCTCAAACGGGAGAATGCTAAAGATAGTACAAGCCATCACTGTGTTGAACAAAAGTGGCATGATTTAGTGCTACTATTGACAAGGTTGGGCTAGCTTCTTTATAACCAGGTGTTTTGGTTATTTCTGATCTGTATGGCTTTTGAAACATGTTTTACGGGTTAGCCCGGTGTATAGTAATATATAAATTGGGGCTTAGACCTAGTCTGTAGTAAGATTGATGTGTGCAGTTTTCATTGCTGTTCATTTTTAAGGGCAATAAATGGTCTAATTTGTTTGTGGTGGTAGGGTGACATGGGAGAGGGCTTGAAATGGTTATCATTTGACTTCAGCTGTTCCCAAACTTGTCCAGTTGCACCCCTATTGCAGTCAGATTAACTTCATGCATCTTGGACAGGGGACATGGATGCACCAGCCCTCAGCTGCCCCTCACTGACTGTCACTGTTGCTCATCCACATTGAAAGCTATATCCAGGCAGCTCTACTGCTGATTTGAAACAGAATTAAGTTGTCCAGATCTAGGGGTGTTTGTTTTGTGGGTGGTTTTTTATTTTATTTTATTTTATTTATTTATTTTTTACAACTGTAGCCATAGGGCAGTCGCCATGGAGCATTTGAAGCACGTTAAACCCCTGTCCTCCATTAATTGTAGGTAGATGGCATAATTGTGACCTCAGGTGAACTAGGGCCTCTGAGGTGCTTGTGACCCCACTTATAACTGCTGCAACCTCTCAGGGTTGCAACCTTCAGTTTGGGACCTGCTGTCTGTCTTGTTCCTTCATTTTTAACCAAGTATAAAATCAGTTTTCTAATAGTAAAATACACTATTCTCCCTTGCTCTCAAATGTAATAAAATTGTCTGGAAAGCTGACATCAAGAACACTTTTTAAGTGTTCTGATGTCCTTAAATCATTCACGCTAATAAGTATTGGAGTATGGATGAACCTGATGTGGTTTCTCAGAACAACGGGTGATGTCACAAAACTCTCTCGTTCCTTGGAGGCTTAGACCAGCAGAGACTCCCTATGCCTGACGAAGGGTGATTGCATCCAAAAGCTTGCTAAGAGCGTTTTTCCAACTAGTCAGTTAGTCTAATAAAAGATATCACATCTACCCAAAGAACCTTGCCTGATCACAAAACATAGGTACTTTAGTTTGTAGGTACGAGTGGGTTAAGCTAAACGGTGACACAGCCTGAAAGGTGCTATCAGTTGAGAAGTTCAAAGTATGATGGGGTACTCATCTGTTTCAGCATCTGTTGGCTCACAAGAACGAAGCTGGCGAGGAGAGCGGAGAGATGTCGCAACATGCGCACATTCTCATCACTTCTTCATGTATGCATATGCAAACCTGACAAATCTAGCCTCCTGGTCCTATGTGGTCAGTTTGCTTAGCCTGGGATCTTAGACTTTGGTACTGTTGTAAATTTAGTCTTGGTTGGTTTATAGTGATTTCTGTAGTTGCTTTGGCACTGTGTGTTTCAATGTTTTTACCTCCTGCTAGTGTAAGTTCATGGAAGCTGGGTTTGTTAGCTAGTCCCTGGAATGATAGAAAATCTTTTCCCACAGATGTTGGCAAGCAGGGTTTTTTTGTTTTGTTTGTTTTTTACAATATGGAAATTGAAGTTCTTCATCCAGAGTTAGTTGTCTTAAGTAAGAGGTGGGGACTGAGAGGGTATTGGGGCATTTAATGCAGTTCTGGGTCTTGCATGGAGTCTTCACAAAACCAGCATGTAGACTTCTAAGTTTGGCGACTTTCAGGACATAATGCAAAGCTATTAAATTCTCTTGGGGAGACATGTGGGAAGGGATGGAGTTTTGGTGTTATGGGAGGGTAGAGATGGATTCATTTGGCATTGAGTCAACTAGTGAAATGTGGATTAATGAAATGTACATTTTATTGAGTATTTGATCAGCAGCACAGACTGGTATGTACCAATTTAAAACTTGTAATATATTTTGAAAGTAGGGCTTCTTTGAATTCCTTTTGATTTGTTATGGTGAATAAATTTGCTTCATTGTTTTCTGACAATAGCGCTTTTATCTTTCAGATTTCTTTTGATGGCATCTATGCAAACATGAGAATGGTTCACATACTTACGTCAGTTGTTGTAAGTCTTACGGCTGGGGCAGGATAGTAAAACATCTGTATAGATACTGATATGGACCTGTAGAATACAAAACTACATAACATACTTAGGCCCTTTAATTCAAACAGCAGGCATCTTATGCCAAGACTGTGCTGTGAAGACGGACAGTGGTGACTTCTCTTAGCTTAGTGTTGTGGGTTGTTTTTTGAGGGTTATGGTGCATTTCTTTCATGCTTCTGCTGCTTTTTACTTTGTTATCTTTAGATAGCTTTTTGGATGAGTAAAATAAATGACACTTTAAAAGTTAAGCCTGAATACTGCACGCAAAAAAGTTTTATGCTTGAACTTACCGAAAATGCTGGTAGGAGGAAGTAAGAAGCGAACTACCCCACCAATTCCCCATTCTTGCTGCTAGATATTTCAGGGCAAGCTTTCAGCATCCGCCCTCCTCTTACGCGCATGTACACATATGTGCACTTTTCACTTGGAAAAAACACCTGCATGTGTACTCAACCAGTTGCTCAGCACTTAGCTGTGCCATAAGTACGTGCTGGAACTTATACCTACAGACATTGCAAGACCAAGCTCTAGGTGCACACGGGTCCTTGCACCTGCAAAGCATAGGTGCGTCTTTGGAAGCTTACACAAACAGTGGTTGGGTAGAGCTGTGGCTGAATATTGAGCCATTCTTGTTGAATAGTACAGGTATGTAAAGGCATCAGTACTGAAAAGCATTCGGATCACGCTTGACAGCCCTTGTTAGAGAGCTGCTTTGATTTCTTTCTCTCACATTTTAGGGCTCCAAATGTGAAGTACAAGTGAAAAACGGAGGTATATATGAAGGAGTTTTTAAAACTTACAGTCCTAAGGTAACTGACTTGCTTGTTTTTTATCTCTCATCACTTTTCCTGCAATACTAATGGTTGATGAATTGCTTTGTAGTAAAGCTGAGCAAATAATTCATAGTAAATCTATTGAAATCCAACCTCTTCCTGTTTGTGAATTGCATGCAATCAGCTTAGTTTTCATGGAGCTGTTCACTGCTTGAAATGTATGTGATGATCTGTGGAGGATGCGTGTTTGTTGTTAACAAGTGATTATTTGAGTGTTTATCATTCAAGGTGTTTCATGTTAAACTCGCTCCTTTTTTTAATATTAGTGTGATTTGGTGCTTGATGCTGCTCATCGGAAAACTGCCGAATCCAGTTTGGGGCCAAAACGCGAAGACATAGTAGAGAGTATCTTGTTCAAGCCTTCAGACTTTGTTATGGTGCAGTTTAAGGATATGGATACAAATTACGCAAGAAGAGGTAGGTTTTTTTAATTTTAAGTTATTTAACAATGGAGGTATCTTTAAATTGTAGATCGTGGCTCCCAGAGCTTTGTTAGGCACTTAAGAAAGACAGCCCTGACACTAGAAGTGCTGAGTGTCCTATTGACTGCCATGAGCACAAATGTTGGGTGCTCCCCAACTTGGTAGTTTTTTATTTAGGTACGCAAAAGCATATTTCGGAGTCTGTCTTGAGGAAATAATGTGTTAATGCTGCTAGTCATTTTAGCTCTTTCAAAGGTAATATTTGATAGTCTTTTCATGCTATGGATTCTCCAGGAGCTGTGAAACCTAGTGATAGGAATTTCTAAGTTGTTGTTAAAAACACAGTTATTACGTTTGTTTGCTTTATTAGTCACTTGGATGCTATGCTTAAATGCTGTAGGACAATCCATGGGTTCAGCTTTTAAATGTTCCAGTTCCAGAGTTCTCAATACTCTGCCAGCCTGCAAGGGAAAAGCCATGGTTTCCCACATTTTTCTCCTTTAAAGGAGAATACATTTTTAAAGTTTTGTTTAAGATCCTTTCATGTATTCTTGCGACCCACTTTTGGGTCATGATGCATGGGTTGAGAAACACTGCTCTAAGACATGGGTACTCAACTCAGCTTGCAGGCCAGATACAGTCTGTAGAGCTGTCATCTGGCCTGAGGGGCTCCCCAAGGCTCCGGAAATCTGGTAGCATGGGAACCATGGCAGTGCTAATTGCTGCCCGCCTGCTGCCAAATGTTCAGACCTGTGGGGAGCCTCAGGGGCCAGATGATATGGCCTTGCATGCTAAATTGGGGTGGTGCACAATTAGGCCCATACGTCAACCCTTTGCCCATGTGGCCAGAAGTTGGGCACCACTGCTGTAAGACCTCAGGCTTTTTTTGGTGTAAGATATATTCACAAGTCGCCCAGCTATGCTCCTTTCAATTGGAGAGCTCTTCTTTGTCATCACATACCTCCTAAGGTATCCTGTGCTTGCTGTAGTCCCCGCTTTGCTGGTCCATAAAAGAAGGAAGGAAATTGGTATTTTTTTGCATGCAGTGGAACAACCCTGCATGTGTGTAGCCTCCAGTTAGTATCTTACTGTTCTCAACAGGTACCACTAAGCTAAGTGTTTCTGCCACAACAGGCTGGGATTTATTGCAAAGGAGATCACCCAGCTCTTGGATTTACATGCATCTGTGAATTAAAGGAGGAGATGCATAACAAGAAGCTCTGAGTTAGCCCCTTAACTCACCAGTTTAACCATAAGATGGCTGCTTAGTTCTGTGCTCCTGAAGGATTTTATCTTTCGTGGGGAAGATCCAGAGGGTAAAAAGGACAGTGAAATACAGACCTCAGTTCAAGTGTAATGGTTTGGTTTATGCATGTTCATGTGGACACCTTTTGGTTTCCCTCGGACTCTTGTCCATGGAGAAGAGAGCCTATGCTCCTAGGTTTTGCAGCAGGAAGCTGTAAAACTGAGTGATAGGAATTTCTAAGTTAAGTTGAGGCCTGTGCACTATGGGCAGCGTGAGGAGGAAAAGGTGTGTCCCACTGGGACACTGTTGCTTGAACTATGGCAGCGGTGCTAAGGTGGTTGGGCTGCCAGCATGGACACGACATTACCAGCTACATAAGGTCATTGGGCCCACAGAGGTTTTGGCCCTGGCTGCATTTGTCGTGGAGTGTGACCCTTTCAGGTGCCTCACTGAAATAACTTTGCTGGCAGAACATGGTGATGGGGCAAAGCCTGGAGTGTACTAGAAGCCACAGGCTGAAAATTTAGGCCTTAATGTGCAAGGCAGGGCCTTGGCAATAAGCTACCATTCAGCACCTTTGTGGGGCCCCATGGAAGGCGAAGACTAAGGGTTTGGGTAAAGCAGACTTGAGAGTACTTGGGTTTAGCCCTGTGGAAGAAGTTGGTATACTCAGCTCAGCAGGTGCTCGCTGCCTGGGCATCGTTTCTTAGTAGAGCAGGTCCCTTGGAGTCAGAAAAGCTGTATTGAATTTTAAAATGCCTGCTAGCCAAGCCCTCTCATGTGGCTGAAGTTGGAGTAACGTTTCAGCTGCAGCCAGCTGATGTCAAGGCAGTTCAAAATTGTGAGTGCTGTTAGTCCAGCCACAGGAGTCTTTCCTTTGCCACGTTTTGTGACCATGCTGTAAATCTGAGGCCGGTCCCAGCAATCTAACAAAAATGGAAAGGAATGTGGCTATTGAAGTTCTTTCTGGGGATCCTTCCAGATGGGGAATAGTGATGCACATGTTACAGACAAAGGAAGTGTGTGTAATTTGGCAAAGCTGAAAGTAATTTTAATGTTACCAAGTCACTGCTAGGCAGGCACCTTGCAGATACTTTGTTTGCCCTGTAAACTCTAAAGTCGCAACCACAGTTTACTTCAAGCAGCACCAAACTTGATTTTCAATTTGCTTGGCCTAGTTTGAGCATCACTGGCGCGTGAAGCAGACTGGTTTAATAGAACTTGAATCTCTCTGTTGCTCTTGAGAATCAAAAGGAAGAATGTGTATCCAAATGCTCCAGAAAGCCAGAACAGATTAAGGGCCAATATCTAACTGCTTGTGAATATTTAATCCCTCAAGCTTGGACAGACTTGTTCAGAAATGCGTGGTAAGCTGAAGCTTCTCAGAGTGCAGATGTAACGCGTCTTTGCATGACATGCAGCTGAGCCACGTAGAGAAACAAGTACTTTATAATTCACTGTTCGCTGATTTGGCGGTAGGTTTCAAAACAGGAAATCGGAGAGCTTGAACATCAGCCACCAGTCTTCTGGCAAGGAGATCCTGCCCTCAGTAGGTCAGAGAAGCAACGCGGAGCTAGCCAGGAACTCACGTTGCAGCTCAAGCTGCTACTGGGTTTGCTTGCCTGAGGCCTCTCTTCATTTAATTAATTTGCCTCAGTCTTACCGTGCACAAAAAGGAGCTGCTTAAAACTTCCTCTGCCTGTCCAGGTGTCGTGAGAGCTGTTAGTGTCATCTGCGCTCAGTTTTGCATTTGGCGTCAACTCTATTACTGCACTGCAGGGATTATTGGTAGCAGCACTTTGTTGGAGTATCTTCTGCAGTCCTCGTACAATCGGTCTCCTTCATCTGGATTCAGGAAATGGATCTGAAGTGAGGCATAGGTGAAAACAGCAGACCCTCTCTGTACCTTAAAACAGAACTGGCTTCTGTTAATCCTGTTTAGAGGATAACTCCTAAATAATGGAATGTTGCTGTTTTTAAGCACTTCGGAGACTGCCTGCTGTTTGTCTGGTAGACTTCGTTAGTGTGTGGCTTTACATTGCCCCCTTCTTTAAACCATTACAGCCTTTTATTGAATGTTTTTCTATAGCACTTTTCACAAGTATATAAGAGAAAGAATAGGTGGACTGGGCAGATAAGATACCATTCACGTAGTGTTTATTCATGTTGTCCTAAATGTCTAACTTCCCTGTAGTATTGAGGCTGTTTTATAGAGGTTAATAGCTACATCAGTAAAATGCAGGATTCTGTTTCTGGACCCTGTGTGGATTCTCTAATCTCATCTGGCTGTATTCCATGGGGGAAGATTCCCCTTCCCATAGTGATGCAGTTTAAACTAGGATTTCCTCTCGACTGAACCATGAGTGATCCCTGAGAGAGAAGTTGGAGCTGAAAGGATGCATTTGTTCTTGATACAGTTCCTAGAAAAGGCCTGGAAGTAACCTGGGGGAAGAAGTCTAACCCCCAGCTTGAGGCAGGGTCATCACCATCCAAACCATGTTAGATGCATGCAATATTTGTATAACCTACCCTTAAACTTCTAGCGATGAAGATCCTGTAATCGCTCTAAGTAATGCATCCCAGCATGTAACCTCCCATGTAGATGGCTAGTACAAGACCTAGGTTTCCTTTGTTGCAGTTTCAGCCTGTTGCTACTTGTCTTGTCCCCTGTGGACACAGCCAGTAACTGATGGCCAGTTTCTTTCTTAACAGCTCTGTTTATTGTGGGACATTGAGTTTGCTGTTAAATAGGCTTATGCTTACTTCCTGTGCACAATCCCATTCATGGTTAACAGCTTCTCTGAAGGCTTGATTAGGTAGATGAGGACACGCCAAGTGAGAAGTGAAGTGTGTTCTCTTGTTACTATTCGACTTTGGGTTGTTGTAGTACCTACTGTCCGTATTGCCTAGTAATAACAAACATTGGAAGAGCTGTTGTCCTGTGTTGTACATGTAGAAAGCAACAGGAGTGGTTTTTTTCCCCTGATTCTATTAAATGCATTCTTGAGACTTACCTTGAAGATGCAAAGTGGTTTTGTAAGAGGTGTATGACGATCCCTGTTTTTCAAGGTCTGAAGGGTGTATAGTAGTGAATGTGATAGTCTCTTCCAGAGAAATTAAATGGTGTCATATCAGCTGGGCAATGTGGAAAGCCTGAAGAACTGAGCTCGTGTTTGTTTTTTGATTTGTTCCTGTTCTTCCTCCCCATCACTATTTATTGTTTTATCAGAGATGGATAACTTTTTTGGCAGTTACTCTGTTTCCCTGTTTCTGCATCTTGTTTTTATCATTTCCAGTACATAGCATAGTACCTTTTTGCTTATGGACTTAAAAAATGTGTGCATAAAATTCAGCTCTATTTGTTCTGACCCTAGTTGGCACTTGATTTAAATCTGTTGCTTTCTAATGATTTACTGTGCTTTTGGATACTGTCGGACCTATGAAGCTGGAGTTTGCTACAGGTCTACTTCAAAATGGTTTCCAAGCTGTCCAAAAGCCTTTACGAGCAAAACACCAGTAACAAGTTATAGTATGTCCTCACCAAGCTCAAGCATCAGGCTTCCCCTTAACAGGTGTGATGCAGCTTCACTGGCAGACCCTGCAGTGACTTCACAAGCTGTCTTTATTATGTATTTTTGCAGTCCGTGATCTGGCCTCATCAGGGTGTCTGCATCACGTATGAATTTTCTCATCTTTAAAGAGTCTTTTGTATTTTGGAGGAATTTTGAGTACCTAAATCTTGCCTTTTACAGTTTCATAACTTTTTTGACTATATTTGCCAGTTAACAAACTATTTAGTCTTAAATGCTTCATTTTGCATTCTCTCCTTTGGTCTTCCTGTTTTGTAGTATGAGCAAAAGGATAGGTTTAAGTAGACATAGTGTTGAGTGTTACTACAATTTGACTGTCAAGTTGGGTAGAGCTGGAATAATTGGCGTAGTTGATGGTTTTTATTAAGGCAGATCTTCAGATATTGTAGAAGACCATAAGGGGCATGTAAACCACTTGCATAAAAGTAAATTCTTTTCACCATAGCTTCACTGTGTATTTCTCTCCAATACAATTTCAGATGTTGCTAAAATAAATTAAACCTGCATTCTTCCACATCTAGTAGTGTCTAATGGTTTGGTCCCAACCATTTCCTAATCTCTTAGATGAGACCCTGATTTCACTGTCAAATTACTTATTTCCATCTGTTTCTTTTGAGAAGTTTGAAGTTCTGAAACAGAATGGACTGAAAGCAGTTTTAAAAGATTAAGTCCTTTATTTAAAGCATTTAAGAATCTCTAGGCAGATTTGAGTTTTAGTTTTTCACAAATACCAGAATTTGGCTTCCTTAGCGTTGAATGGCTTCATTATTTAAAATTAAAGTACTTAAATATTCTAATATTCTAATATGCCTTCAGCTGTACTTCTTACCATCTGGTTTGAATAGAATATAATCAGGCATGGAAAATAAAGTTCACGATCCAGTTGCTGATTGCTTGGTACACCTGGCTAGTAGTATATTCATAATGTATACAGCTTCAAGTGTTTCTAGCATTCCAGTTTCTAGTTGTGCAGAGAATAAGATAGGAGTGCTTGAATTTTACTATGTAATTTAGTAATTTGGCTTGAACAGTATGACACTGCTAAAAGCTTTAACTGATGTACTAAGCAAAGAGCATTTCTGGCTTCATTGTGGGGAGGATCCCATTATAAAGAGACTACAAATGTGTAAACATTGGCGTCAAAGAAACCTTGCAGTGGAAGGAACTGAGATTGAGTTAGATGGTGGCATAATTTAGACATTCTGGGTAAAGGTATATTAATTTGCCTTTAATGTTTTTGGGTATCTGTTGTGGTAAATAGAGTCATATGAAACAGTTGTACTATACTTAAACCATATTTTGGTTTTTAAAGTAGTGATGAATGATACTCTCTTGAAGTAATGCTGTACATGAGTAAACTTAGTCATTAAATATGACTGTTGTATTTAAAAGAGAAGCAGTGACCACTATTCTCTGATGGTTTCTTGAAATTTTCAGAATTAGGTGCCAGCTTGAAGCAATTACATTGGAAGTCGGGCATTTTGTGTGTTATTAGGTATTTGTCATATGCTAGTTGGACGTTTTAAAAATGGCTGAGTTTATTTTCAGTGAATATTATAACCGTTTTGGGCAATGCTGTTGTGCTTATTGCGAGTTTATGTTCGACTATTCCTTAAAAACATTTGCATGTTGCCTTTAACCAAATTTTGGTTTTTTCCATTGTTTTTTTCCTTAGATGCTTTTACTGATTCGGCAATCAGTGCTAAAGTAAATGGTGAACACAAAGAGAAGGACCTAGAACCATGGGATGGTGGAGAGACAACCACCAGTGAGGAGCTGGAGGCTTTAGACACAGATGTTGTAAGTAACCCTTTTTATCATGCATTGACATCTCCCTAGAAAACAAGTAACTTATTTTGCTGTTCAGCACAGTGTTCTTGAATTTTAATCTAGAAGTAATACTCTTTGTTCAAGCAAAATTGTTTAAATATCATGGCTCTGTTTATATAGTGTTTTTTTTTTACTGCAGAAATTCAGAACTTGCTGAGAGACCACAGATTTCTCACTGTGATTTGAATAAGTATAGCTGGATCCCAGATGCTGATATTGGCAAAAAACCGACTAAGGCAGCTGCTGCAGTAACGGCCTTGTCTGATTTAACAATTAGTTGGGATAGAAGAATTTTCATTGAACAGTGCAAATCCTGAATTCATAATTTGCTGCCACCTCCATACCTGTGCAGAAACTGAGGGCACCCATTCATACATGATGGTGAATTTGGGGCTCAAGTGAAGGAGGCTAATGGACCATCGATTTGGTACAGGAAGCTTCATAGTTCCAAAAATAGGCTTTTACTGAAGTACAGAAACAGCACGTCTATAGGTCCTGAATTATTGGATGGGGAATTTCTTCATAAATGGATGGTTTTCTGTGTTCCTTGTTAACTTACCTGGGTTACTTGTGATATGATTATAGGAGCTAGTTTTACAAGAGTTCACAAAAAACGTGATGTGCAAGAATACAAATAAAGTGGTGCATCGCATTTTCCTCTGATCCATAACCCTAGTAATATTGGTTCTTAAATCTTTGTTCAAAGTTTGGGAAGAATGCTTACCCTTTCTAAAAGTTTAAATTTCACATGGCTTGTGGTATAGCTCTACCTTTACTGGATTGTCAAGTACTTAATAGAAATCTTGTTGCAACCTAATATTTTTATGAAAGTAATGAAGTCTTAGTAAAGACCAGAGCACTCTCTGCTTAGAAAAAGAAGTGGGGACATAATGCTGTTATTGTATGCAGAAGTCCCCACATGTATTTGTACTCCTCAGATAATTGAGTTGGTAGTGCATTTGAAAAGTTCCAGCACTTGCCACAGCGAGGCACACTCTTTCCACGTTTCACAGGTTAATGCATCTGGTTGTGACGTTCTGTAAAGGAATGTAATGCTTTTGGTTTAGTGCAAGACAGAACATCTTACAGTGCAAAATGGGTGTGATGCTAGCATCAGTATTGGTTTTTAAGGTGAAAATATGTGGCTCTAGCAAATGTTATTTAAAAAAAAATCTCAATTTGGATTTATAATTTCAGCATCTGAAAATCAGATTTATAGACCCATGAGTAAGGGCAAAAAGGCAGAATTCTGCCAACAGCCCTAAATTTCAGGGAATGTATTTACCAGTGCCATTTTGAAAACAAGCATCATTTTCTTCTAGTCTAATGGATGGGATCCCAATGACATGTTTCGTTACAATGAAGAAAATTATGGTGTAGTGTCTACTTATGACAGCAGTTTATCTTCTTATACGTAAGTTTCAACATATATTTTGTTGTTAGATTTGTGTCTAATTTTCTCCATCGTTCATCTAAACTTATGTTATAAAGATACAGAATGTTTACCTGTTTGGAATGGTAGATTCCAATGACACTTTACCAAGCAGATTAATTAATTCCTTTTTCCCAAACTACCCATTTCTGGTCAAATGAAATAATCTCCATACATTTCCCCTTAAGTGGGAACAATTCATTTGTAACGTAAGCTTTTTTTTTTAAACTTTTTTTTAACAGAAATTCTTTATGAATAAGACTGAAAGAATGAAACGTTTTATATATGGTAACTTTTAAAGAAAATGCTTAAATCTGATTCTGATGAATTAATTGAATTTCCTAGGTTAAGGGAAAAATATCTAAAATTCTTTCATTGCTGATACCTGACAGTTGTATTCCCCAGATGTTTGACATGGTTCTAGTGTTCGGAGGGTGCATTGGTGTTGCATTGTGTACCACAAATTAACTTTAAGCAGATATTATTTACCGTATTTTACAAAACCTTCTGATCTATACTCTGCCTTGACTTGTTTTGAAGTCTGGACTCATCCCTAATAATTTTCAGACATAGACTGTTAACTAGCTATAAAATAAATCAGTGATGTGACTGCCCAAGGCAACAGCAGAGAAGTATGTTTCTGGTCTTTACCACTTTCTGATTCCCAAAGCATAAATCCAGTCTGAGTTGGCAAGTGTTAGAAGAAACCGCTTTGTTTCCCAGTGGATTGGGGCGTTTGTGCATTGCCCTTTGCTTCAAGAATGCTCTTTTTTTTCACTCTTGCCCAAGTGGATCTAATTTGCTGGGGTTTAGGAACTGCTGTCTGAACCAAGTGGCTCTTCAGGAGATCACTGGCAGCTCTTTGCAGAAAATATTACCAAAGGTGTGTTCTTAACTTCTTGCACTGGGCATGTCTTTCAGTCATGAGTAAAGTAATGCAAGCCCTATTGGACAGTGCAGATGTTAACCAGTATACTGTAGGGAAGGGTTGAGCTGTCATTTGGTCTACAGTGCAATGATAGTGAAAGTGCTTACCATGTCAGCTTCAAACCAAACTCTTTTGCTCTGTTAGATTGACCAAAACTTTGTTGCTTCTCCTCTGGCTTCAGACTCCTTTGTACTTTGAACTTGAATTTCTGGTATCTTCCTTCCACATGGGTAGTTATGGGAGCTAAAACTTAATGGCGACTTTAAATCTCTGGGGAAACATTGTTTCCCAATCAAAAAAAGGCAACATGGGAAGTTTCCTCTTTATTGCTGCCTGCTAAGATGCTGGGAATTATAGCTGGAGGAGCAGGGAGGAGGTATGTCTTCTTGTATGTTCTCAGCATTATGAGCCAGTAAAGGGAAAAAAGAAAAGTTCAGCAAAGGATTCATTTTTGGCCAAGTCTGTTCCTGATTTTGAATACGTGCAGATGTCTCTGCAGTTGCTAAGCTTGGAGATTTTTTTTTTTTTTCTTTGAGCAGATCTTTTCTTCAGTTCTGAACTGGTAAAGTTTGAGATAGTTTGACACCTGGCTACAGTAACTAGACATCATACTTTTCCTCATTTCCACTTCTACTCTACCAGCCTCTGAAGGCACTCCTTCTCTACCTACTTCTTTGTTACCATGATACAGCTGCACTGGTTTTTTCTATGAAAAAGAATTGTGGGTTTCTTTGTTTGTTTGGTTTTTTTTTTGTTTTGGTTGAGTTTTTTAAAGCACCTTATATCCTTCCATTTGGGGGGCCTGGTTTTTATCCTGTGCTTGAATTGCCCCTAGCACAATGAAGTCTAGGTTCCTAAGCACGGTGAGAACAAAAATATCAAGAAATGTGTGGGGCAGTTTCCAGATCTCCTATTGTCTGGGTATGCCTTGCTCCACTATCAAAAATGTTAACCATTGCCCCTGTTCTCATAGCAGGATGCTGCGTTGTGGCACATTTTTCATTTCAGCACTGTCACCAGTGGCTGTTGGGTGAAGTGCTGTATAAATTGAAGCCGGTGCTGGCAGTTCTGTTAGTCTTAGCTATGATCCAAGCTGGAAGGTGTAACTCCAGCAGTTTAGAGAGTGGCAGAGGAAAGTAGTGCATGGTTTAGTGCCTGGTCTTCCAGCAGCAGATTTGTAATGGCTGAGGTCCAGTGCTCTAGTCCCTGGACTAAGATTTAGGAAAAGTGGGTTGTATTCTAGTTCTGCCTCTCACCTTTCCTCTGACCTTAGATGAGTCACTGTACCCACATCCCTTCCCAACCTACTTTATCTAGTTACAGGTTGATTGGAGTGGGGGTTGTCATTTGCTGCATCTGTGCAACACCCAGAACAGTCAGGTCCCAATCTCAGTTGAAGCCTTTAGGTCCTGTGTACTAAGAAAAATAAATGTTTCTGGTATTTTTAATGAGTTACGTGTCGTCTTTAAAGTAGCAAATGAAAATAGGCTGGGCAGCTGCCTTCTGGAGCATTGGGGTAAAATTGGTTTGCCAAGCTGAAAACAAGGCAGAGGAAATGATCTCATACTTCTGAGAAGATGCTTCAGTTCTCAGAATAAGCAAAAACCGAGTGCTACCGTATGTTGATAAAGCCACCTATTTTTTTTTCTAAAGGGCAGTAAAGTAGGTGGAAGAAAAAATTGGACTTCCTTTCTTGAAGAAAGCAATTTTCAAATTAAAGCTGCCTGTTCATTCCTGAACTCGCTTTGCTTTTAGTCTGCTATTTCAGTGGTTGTATTGCATTGATACAGCTCTTTCCTGTAGTGCCTTTCACTTGGAGATTGCTGCACACTTTCAAAAGGTGTGTTGTTACCCCATGTCCGAGATGGGTGCCATGGTCTTGCGCTCCTGGATACCATCCTGCCATTGCTGCTGGTTATAACAGCGGTGCCTGATGTTCCCAGAATGAATGTTTTCCGAGGCATCTGACACCATTTGAATGTTGGAAGCCTTGGCCCCTTGTGCTCTAGGGGTCCTCTGAACAGTCTATCTACAGAGTTCCGGCTCAGAAGTTAAACTAAAAAGGTTTCATTGTCAAGATCTCATACGCTAATCACCAGCACACTTAATGGTGCTGAAAACCAGCATCCTTACCTGCTTTATGGTTAGGGATTTTGCTAGTCAGAGAAATATGTTGCAGCACAAGCTCGGTTTTTGGGAAATACAGTTTTTGTGGGTGACCTAAATGCTTCAAATATATCTCAGATTTGTTTTTTCTCTACCCCTCCCCTTCTTGTAGGGTGCCCTTAGAGAGGGATAATTCAGAGGAGTTTTTAAAACGGGAAGCAAGAGCAACTCAGCTTGCAGAAGAAATTGAATCAAGTGCCCAGTACAAAGCTCGGCTTGCCTTGGAAAACGATGACCGGACAGAAGAAGAAAAATATACTGCTGTCCAGAGAAACTCCAGTGAGCGAGAAGGACATGGTGTGAACACTAGGTATTTAAAGCAAAATACTACTCTGTGTATAAAGGAGGCCTACAGTTTGCTGTGGCAGTAACTTAATTCTTCGAACATGTTTGCTTCTGGGAATTGGAATTATGGCTTAAGAAAACCAAACACCCAAACCAGAAGTTGCTTAGAGAGTAGGGAACAAGCTATCATTAATGTTACCTAGTATTTTAGTGCGGGCTTTGCATATTGACCAGTAAAGCATCTGCTATGCCACAGTTGGTCGTCAGAGTTCAGTGCTGAGTCAGCCATGGCCCTGTAGGATCACAGGATCACAGCACACTGTGAGAGGGCTTGCAGTCCATAACTGGTGGTTCTGTATGCATGTCAAGTCATTTATTCTGTAACTGAACCAGAAGAGCATAGGTGCATTTAGAGTGTAGAATTTATCTTAATTTTGTTTGGGGGTGGAGAAAGGAGGCAGATATGAGGGAAACTTATGGAGAAAATTAATGTTATTTTTCAGTCATAAAGCATTGTCCTTATCATCCAGCTCTGGCTACAATAATGAAAGACACTTGCTGTGTTTCAGGGAAAACAAGTACATTCCTCCTGGACAACGAAATAGAGATGTCCTGTCCTGGGGAAGTGGAAGACAGAATTCGCCCAGGATGGGCCAGGCTGGCTCAGGGCCCTCCATTTCAAGATCTGGATCCCATACTTCAGACTTCAGTCCAAACTCTGGAGCAGATCAAAGAGTAGTGAATGGAGGCAAGTATCTGTGCTAAGTGAATGAATCTTAATTGATGAGAGTTTTTGTTTTAAAATCTTGGAAATGGTGTCTGTGATCCAGCTAGGTGAAATAGAGACAAAATAAGTTAGGTGACCATGTGGCATGTTTAAAAAAGGTGTCTGTAGATGCTTATTATTTGGTTTTGAGCTATGTGACCTGATGATAAATGACGACTCAACTATGTTTGTATGTAGTTGGATGCAGGAGAGAATTTATTTGTGTGCCTCCTCCTAAAATGCTTCCAAGTTTAGGTGAGCAGGCTGTGTCCATCTTTAAAGGTTAGATGAAATCTGCCATAAAGATATTGAGCACAAACCTTTGTGTTGGGGTGCAAGCGAGTTGAGCTGCAGTACTAACCTTCAGCTGTCCAGCAACTGCGGCTGAAACCTGACTCTTTCACCAGTAGCAGAAGAAATATCACTCTTGCCCTTGTGTGTGAGGCTTCAATCCAGCTCCCAGAGAAAACAGCGTTGCGTTATACCTTGGTTTTATTGTGACATAGCACAGCTTGGCTATAGGGAAGATAAAGCAGTCAGATACAGCGGGAAAGATTTTTCAGAAATCTTCTCTCCAGATAAATTATTCTTGAGCATCTTCTGCTGTGTGTTTCTGTATATAAATTGCCCAGAATGCAGCGGTGTTTCCAGTGACAAATGAACTCAGTCCCTCTTTGCTGGTTGTTCATATGTCAGTACTGTTACTTACGTAGTAAATGCAGCTTTGGCAGGGGGAAATAGAGTAGCATATATGAAGAAACAGCATATAATATTCAAGTGTGATTGTCTGGAGAGAAGGCCTGGGCAGTTTCTAGCTTAAGGTAAGTGATGCTTTCTTTTTAAATACGTATTTAAACATTCTGATCTGCAATACAAACTCCTGCCCAACAGCGCTAACTTTGAAATCTCCCTCTTGCAGCCGTATTATTTGTTCTATTAACTTACAGAATGCACATAATGCTTAAAACAGAGCAGTTGGAAGTTGGGTGTTTGGCTTTGGAAAGAGTCACTGTTACACCTGTTCTTCTGAAATGTTAAATGAGCCCTCTACAGATGCTTACAGGGCACAAACGTCCGACTTCAGACACTGAACACGGCTGTTTTTTGTAAAGAAGTACTTTCTTTAATTGATACTGCTCCTCATTAAGTGTGATGTGATTATATAATAGCTATATAGTCAGCCGTGTACATGAATCGCCATTCAGGATCCTTTAGTAACTATTGATGTACCTTGTCGAGAGTTATGTACCGTAAAACATGTATATAAGCAACAAGCTAACAGATTAAGCTTTAACTGTCTATTCCTCAGTAGTATTTGTAGATCCTAAAGTAACCCTTTGGGGAGCTTACGTTGCATTAAATCTGACCAGTCCAGAAGAGGGGAAAGCAAGCTGGCCGGGATTGTTTTACCACTTGTGGAAAGAACCAAACGTGTCCTCAAAGGGTTAAACATGTATATGAAATCATTTTTGTCATGTTTTGCTTTTTTTCTGTTTACCTTTTTCCCCCATGATTTTTCTTTAGTTTTTATACTTTCCTTCATATCATTTGTTCTGTCAGGTGTTCCCTGGCCATCGCCTTGCCCATCTCCTTCCTCTCGCCCACCTTCTCGCTACCAGTCAGGTCCCAACTCTCTTCCACCTCGGGCAGCCACCCCTACAAGGCCGCCCTCCAGGCCCCCCTCGCGGCCATCCAGGCCCCCGTCTCACCCCTCTGCTCATGGTTCTCCAGCTCCTGTCTCTACTATGCCTAAACGCATGTCTTCAGAAGGTACAATACCACGATTTGTTCACGTTTTTGTTTGTCTTTGTTTAACTCCTTTGTGAGTTTAATTACAAAATTGTTTTTCCTCTTCATTACTTAACCTATAATTTGTGTTTTTAACTTTAGTTTAGTTTATCAGACTGTTTCTATTAACCTTTTTTATTTAAAGAAACTTTACAAAAACACCAATATAAAGCTGTGAAATTTCCCAAGTCGGTACGGAGTAAGCTCGGCTTTGTAATGCTGCTCAGTGTCTTAACCCATAAAACAGCAACATGGTGGGACCCCGGTGTATGTTGGAGGGCTTTCTCCAAAACATCTTTTTTTTTTTTTTGATCTGGATGAAATTTCAAGGGCATTATCCTAGTATTACCACAACAGTTTTACATTCATTACTCTCTTTGGAGCCACTTCTGTTCAGATCATAGAACTCTATAATAAGTGCAGTGCGAAATAAGGATTAAAATAAGTTACTTCAGAAACAAACCTGTAGAAAAATGTGCTTCTATATGATTTATGGTTTATGTGAGGGGAGCAGCAACACAGGTAAACCTTTAGTAGCTACCAGTGCTGATTTTAAAATAGTATATTAAATTGCATAGCTATGCATGGGGAAACATCTACATTCAAGTGGTGTTATGGTGTGCTCTAGTGTTGTGGTAATTGGGCACCTTCACAACATTAGACTGTGCAACATAACCTAGTAAATCAGAAGAAAGGGACCCATGTTGTATAGAGGGTGCCCTGCAGGCAGTTTGAAGGGGTATCTTAACAGCTGTTCTCAACTGAAATTTCTGCAAAAGAAGATTATTGCCCATCACCTGAATTAGTTGCTGATAAGGTGTGACCTGCACGATGGAATTTCAAGATCATTTCTGTCAAGTAAGGAGATGGTGATTGACATGCCTGTAGGACTGACTCTACTAGCCTTGAATGACTGAGATCTTGAGAATCCAGCCTGCTGGTTTCACTTGTTAGCAGCTTTGAGTCATTCATCAGGTTTGAAGTGGGGTGTTTCTTATTGTAATGCACACATTTTTAAAAAACGCATTTTAGAAAATCTCTCTTCAGGGAAATATGGTTCCAGTTTGCCTGTAGATAGTTTGGATTAAAATTGAATAGTCTTAAAATTGGTGGGTAAAGTTCAGAGTGCCTCTTTTCAAGCTGTTAAGTCTCCTACTAGACTTAATTGATAATTCAGAATTTTATCTGAATACAGAAGGCTATAATTTTATATTTTTTCTCTATTAGAGTCCACGCTTTTTAAACAGTTGAAATATTGCAGTTGATTAACATGTTCACTAGATGCAAATTATTTTTTTCTGTTCTAGTGCCAGTCTTCAAATCTGAACTTTAAGGAAAGATTGAGTGAACATACTTCCATATATTCATGTTGAGCATTATAAAGAACTTGCGCCAAGTTTGATAGCTGCTTTTTATGGCAAGTTTTTGCTCAACTCTAAAGCTCCATCCCTTGTTCTGAGGTGCCTGTCTCTAATTTTGGGAGCTCAAGGCTCTTGAAGTCGCAGACCAGGCTTGATTCTTGAGAAAACAGTAATTGGTTCAGTGCAACTTGCTGCTAGACAATGACCTTTCACAGATGGATAATGCAGGCTGCATGGAGAACCCTTCACTAATCCCCCCCTGTGAAGGCACTGGTCAACCAGTGGAGACTTCCCTAAGGGTGCTGACCCTGTGGCGAGAAAGTAGTTCTAGCCTTGAACTTCTTCTTAAGCCATATCCTGAGAATGCTTTATAGCTCAGAACTAGTTTTACGACTTCAGGTTCCAGCACTTCATTAGAGAAGCTAGTAGAATTACATTTTGGCTTGGGTCACAGTGGGCAAAAATGAACTGCATACCAGGAATGAATTTCAGTTCTCTTAGGAATAGATTGGCAGCCTATTTGTTAAAAGCTTCTGAAGGTGTCGCTGAACTAGAGCTGTGTTAACAAGGTGATGGGCATGTCAAGACTTGGGTTCATTGAACCAATACTGTTTTCCTAGTTTCACCGAGCCACTGGAGCCCCCATTTGTGGTCAACACCAATTTAACTCGGTTTGTTACATTGCCTTTATAGCAAGGGGCTACGGAGATTGAAACTTTTAAATTTTGGTTGTGAATGTGTAGGTATGCTTAATGTAACAGACTGATATTCATAGTATGGGGATGTGTTCTTTTTCCCAGGGCCACCACGGATGTCTCCAAAGGCACAACGGCACCCTCGAGGTCACAGAGTCTCTACTGGTAGGGGTACAATTTCAAGTGGCTTAGAATTTGTATCTCATAATGCACCAGGGGAAGCATCTACTGCTACAGTGGCACGAGGCGGCCCTTCAGGTGGGACGTGGTCATCAGTGGTCAGTGGGGGTAGGTATAGCTTGGCTTATTGCAGATGGCTTGCAGGGATGTTTTGGGATGTGAATGTTCGACTTCTAGATGGCTCAGTCCCTGAATAAAGAGCAGGCTTTGCTAATTCCAGCTTGCTTGGATTAAAAGTAAGCAGCAAGACTTTTAACAGTTAGCTTAGCAGCATGATTGTGTGCATTCCACCCTAAAGGATGTAATGTTGCTCTAACTACAAAGAGGTGGTTCTGTCAGCTTTGCTGTTAAATGCAATGTAAAGGAAGAAAAATGCCTAGGAATTAGCTGAATTGAAGGTCTAGTCTTGGGAAAGCTATTGGAGGAAGCAAGTAACAGGTACATGTTGAGTAAGCCCATCTGCATGTGAACAGAAGTTATGCAACTGGAATCATTCATTTTTTATATCAGTGGGGAGCTTGGGTGAAGGAAACGCAGTGTGGTGGGGAAAGAGGAGGTTACACTTCAGGTGAAAGCTTCGTAAGGGAACTTGGAATTATGGTGTTTCCTTCAGTGATCCAGGTTTCAATGTGCTGCTTTGCTGTTTTTTATTAATCAGGATGTCAGTGTACAGTCGGTGCCAGCAACTCCAGAATGACTTGTCAGAAGATTTTAGTTAAATAGTCTGTTAAATATTAAGCCTTCAGTTTAAGCTGGTTCTTGTGACATTTGTTACCTGCTCTTGAGGCCTTTGTAATATAGAGCATGTCTCAGTCGGCAGCAGCCAGCCTGCTCTGGAGACCCAAGGGGAAGGGTTTGGAGCTGGAACTTTAGAAAATTGAACAATGGAGAACTTTTTCTAGGAAAGAACACGTGAATACATCATTGTTCTGTTATGCACAGCCAGCCTCTTAGACCTGCTGCCTCACGGAAAACCTGTCAGTGTTGTACATGCTGTCACTGTCCCCGAGCGGTTTCTTGCCTTGATTTTATGAATGTTTCAGGAGGGTTGTTACTATGCGAACTATCAGAGGAGCAGACAGTCTCCTCCTAAAAGTGAATATTCTGCATGCATTTATAACTAGGACTGGTGGGGCAGAAGAATAGCTCCAGTAGCTGGATGTATGAATGAAATACTTCAGTTTTCCAGGAGGAGTCAGTCTCTAGAGGATTGTGCAAAGCAAGCTGATTGTCAGATGCTTACATCTTTCAGTCATATTTAAAAAGAAAAAAAAAATGTTTTACATCTGTTTGTATAGAAGGCCGGCCACCTTTTTTGCTCTGCCTGAAACTAAGTGTTAATATGAGCTATTGTGGTTGGACCGATGGGGATTGCAGCTTCATTGTAGGACCACAGGGCAGTGAATATGTGTTGAGGGAATCTTTCTGCAGGAAAAACCCACCTCTTATCTGAAATGCTGCACTGTAAAGCGCTAGGAAATGTACCTGCAAGGTAAACAGGTTTTCAATTCCTGTACACTGTTGTGCTGTTTTTTTAAAGCATGTTCTTTAAGCCTTATTTTATTAATATGGAGCAGTTAGAACAGCTTGATTTTTATCCATTAACCTTTTTTTTTTTTAATTTTATTTCTAGTTCCTAGATTATCCCCCAAGACCCACAGGCCCAGGTCACCAAGGCAAAGCAGCGGTTCCACCGGTGCAGCTTTGTCCTCTCCTCAAGCTGGAACTACTCCCACTGAATCAGTTGCCATGCCTGTTCCAGCAGCCTCTCCCACACCTGCTAGCCCTGCGTCCAACAGAGCAGTCACCCCATCCAGTGAAGGTAAATTCCTATTGTACTTTGAATGATTTATTTCAGCCAAAGGGAAGAATTAAAAAAATCACGTAACCAAACCCTACGCTTCTCTGCAGAAAGCACAGCTTTTTCTCTCTTTGTGTAACTTGATTTCCCCATGAATCAGTTTCCTTTTTCCTGGGAGGAACATTTACCATAGCAGAAACATTTGGACAGACTAGCAAACTTCTAATTGTTCTTTGCTGCTTTATAAGACTAGGTCGTTGTGATGCTGAAAGTGACCTGACACAGGACTTCTGAAACACAGGACTTCTGAAACAATTGAGTTTTTGACCTGCCTGCTGTCTGCTTCACAAAGAAATCCATGCATCTGCTAGAAAGTCACTTTTGTTAGATTAGTTAAAGGTCTTGAAATGCACACGCCTCCCTTGCCTCTTAATCAAAGGACTGAGGTGGTTGAATTCCAGAACAGAGGTTTTCTTTATCTGCATTTTTTTTAAATAATTTTTTAGATGACTCCTGAGAGTCTTCTGGCCTAGACAGAACCAGAATTTCTAATGTAAAAAAGGGGAAATCTTTCGGCCCCATATCATGTATCATAACAATACATTTAAAAAAAAGTAATTTTGTTAACACTCGTCTTGAGAGAGATTGTAGATGGAAAAATAGACAATTTTTTCTTCTGTTCCTAAAGTTTTCCCCATGTATTTCCTTCTTCACAGTCTTTATATTTCTGATCAGTTTGTGTGTGTGAAAATAACACTGAATTGGAATTGTTTCCAGCTAAAGATACCAGACTTCAGGACCAGAGGCAAAATACTGCAGCAGGAAACAAGGAAAATACTAAGCCAAGTGAGACTTCACCTAGCTTTCCTAAACCCGAGAACAAAGGTTTGTATCTTTAAAACTTCCTTAATTGTTCTGGAGGAATTCCCAGAGCTGCAAGCACAGACTGCAGCCTCATCTGATGGAATCAACATTTTAATAGCTACTTTAGTGAAAGTCACAAGCCTTTGTCTTGGACTTTTGTGCAGCTGTGAAATCTAGTGGCATCAGAAACTGCAGAGGGAATGCTCTTCTTTATTCATTCTGTCCAGTGATCAAATAAAAGGGGAACACCTCTGTTAACAAACCTTATTAAAACTCCTTTTTAACTGACCAAAAATTGGCCAGTTTCCCTTCATGAATTGTTACATTCATGAAACTTCTCAGCTTCCTCATTGTTACAGTTCTAGCAGCCAAAAGTGTGCTCAGCATTTTCATTCAACTTTTTCTTGTAGCCTGGTCTTTTCATGTTTACATAGTTGAAACATCCTCTTTTGTATTATTGGATTTGTTCGTTTTTTTCCTCTTTGGTCTTAAATTTTCCTTAAATGGGAGGAAAAACTTAAGGTTGCCATTTTGGCAGGTGCAGTTACTATCTCCTTTGAAGCACGGGTGCTAGTAGTAAGTGATTTTTTTTTTTTTGGCAAGTGCTCAAGAAATCCTTTGTTCTTCAGCTAGATTTTCAACATCTGTAGGATTATATGATAAATATTTGTGTAGCAGTACCTGTTACCCCTCCTTCAGTAAGAGGGTGGAATAAAATTGTTGAGTGCTAACTGTATATTTAAAGAAATTGAACCCCAAACCTGTATTAAATTTGCAAATTTAAAATAACAAATGCATAAGCTCTCATTATAAGTTGTTGCTGTATGTGGGGAAATAAGCATATAAATAAGCAAGAACTGTTTTTCCATAATAATCTCTCTCTCTCATTCAGCAGCTCTAGATGTTATAATTTTCTAGTTAATTTGGATGAATGTTGTACATTGTGTTGCTTTAATTGGGTCCCATTGTTGTCTTAGTTTAAACTGAATTTGTAACTTGAAACTGCAAAAATTCTTGCTAGTGGAGTGTAATGTATAGTGTGTGTCTTGTGGTTTTTATGGTCTGCTGTCATTCTAACATACAACGCCTCTGCAGATTTTGATCTGGTCTCAGTGAAAAGGCATTCGAGACCTGCACTTCAGATGGCCTAAGAGCCGTGGATGTAACAACTATTTGTTGTTGAGTGCGGAAGTAGTGGAATACAGTGAGACTGCTTCAGTGTAGGGGAACAGGAATGAAGAGCTGCAGTGGACAAGCAGCTGCTTTTATTTCCTTTGTGTTAAATGAGTGGATCAGTTACTTGAGACAAATTCTAGAGGAAAGCAGGATAGATTGCAACTCAAGATTAACTTAAAATCCCCAAGTTGATTGAAATACATTGATGAGATCACCCACTCTTCCCTTAGTTTGGCCCTTGAAGTTTTTCATCTTTTTATGCTCTTGGCTGGATTAGGATTGCTAGACAGTGTTTGCTCTGCCTGGAGTTGCAGCAACCTCTTAAATCAAAGGCATTTATCTGTTTTGTTCTTGTAAGACTTATGTTCATGACTCTGAGCTTGCTTTGTGCTTAGTCAGAGTTTAGACTTTGAATATGTATATTATGTTTGGCAGGTGTATCTCCAATGGTTTCGGAACACAGAAAACAGATTGATGACTTAAAGAAATTTAAGAATGACTTTAGGGTAAGTATGTTTCATATGCACAGCTACCTTTTAGTTAACCAATATGCACTTCTCTTCCTTTGATGTGAGTCTAGATTTCCTATTAATGAGCTGAACATACTTATCAACAAGAAAACCGTTCAGATTAGCATGTAATTCACACAAAAAATATCCATGTAAGATTGTGACACAAGCCAATATGAAGTCAGTGGTGACTCTGCTTGATCTGCCTGTAGTGATCAGGTGTCCCAGTGAGATAAGAGTATGTAACATTCAGATTACAGTTTAGATGTTTTAGTGAAATGCTGCTTGGAACCTGTTGATTTCTGGGCCCAAGAAGCTAGAACATTGGGAGAACACACATTTAGCTTCCTGAAGTAAGCTGTATTGTCTTTCCTTTTACCAAATTGCTAGTTAGCAGCAGCAGCAGATGTACCATGCTGTGTCTAATAACTTTCCTAAAACATTCTAACTGAACTTCTTAAATAGCTAAGAACACAAATGGGTTTTAAATCGGTTACCTAATTGTCAAGTGTCACTTAAGTTGCAGAGATGAATATATAGAGACTTCTTGGGTTTGTCCTAATCTGTTCCTTCCTTTAAAAAATGAAAAGGAATTTCTTGAGCTCCATCAAATTGCTTCTTTTAACATCTGCGTGGAGGCTCACCATATGTGTGCACTTCTTGAACTTAAAAAGTGTATCCTCAATTAAAATGTTTTTCATGCTGAAGCTATACACATCTAATGGAACCTTCCTTCTGATTATACAAGAATTGTTGTCTACATGTTTGCAGAGAGATGATACTTGCTGAAAGTATTAGTATTTCTTTGTTTTCAGTTACAGCCAAGTTCTGCACCAGACACAGTAGATCAGCTGCTAAATAAAAACCGAGAAAATGAGAAATCAAGAGATACAATGAAAGAGAAAACAGAATCAACTTCTAAAGAATCTGTTGTTGAAACCAGCAGTAATGCCAACTCTAACAGTGGCAGTAGCAAGCCGAATAGTCCCAGTATTTCTCCATCAATTAGTAGTAGCTCTGAGCAGAAGCGAGGGCCAGAAGTAACCTCCCAAGGTGTACAGACATCTGGACCAGGCAGTAAACAAGAGAAGGAGGATAAAGAGGAGAAAAAAGATACTGCTGAGTAAGTAATTACAGCTTTAATAAGCCAGTATTTTTGTTTGGGGGGTGGGGGAGGATGGGAAGTACTTTCTTAGCATTTGCATAGTATGAAACCAGGTTCCAGCTTGAAAAGAATGAACAACTTTGAAGACCTCTGAGCTAAGTGGGTGAACTTATCTCCATTTTACAGATAGGAGAACTGAGGCAGAGGTGAATTACTTTTGCTTGGTGCCATGCAATAAACCAGTGCCAAGGCTGTAAAATAAGTGCTTTTGTCCTCCTGCCCCTTCTGTTAATTCGATTTACAAGTTGTATCGAAGGCAGGCTGTGCAGAAACAGGCATGGTGGTTGCATTTTGTCTGGACATTACTGTCCATGTAGCCTTAGTTGGCTAACATTGTATTTTCTGTATCTAGTTGTGTTCCCTTCCTCATCCCCACCCCTCTAATGTTAGTCCCTCGCTCGGGCGATTTGTATTTCCCTACTGGCTTTGTCATCTTTTTGGATTCACAATCCTAATCACCTGTCATGTTTCTCAGAAGCCTGCTCAGATGAGATTTTTAAGGGATGTTAATTACTCTAAAACTTGAACCATGGACAAATTCAGGGGAAACAGTTGTTGGGGAATAATTCTAAACCTTGAATTCCTTGTATGTGTTTGTTTAGGCAAGTTAGAAAATCTACACTTAATCCAAATGCAAAGGAGTTCAACCCTCGATCTTTTGCTCAGGTAAGCTGCTGTTTTATTTTGGCATGTACATTACACATCTTGGGTAACTGCAATCGCATGGTTTTTCTTCATCCCTGTTTTGGGTCAACTCCTTCATGCTGGACAGTGGTTTTCCGCTTCCTGTCTCTCCCTGGCTTGAACCAACTTTCCTGCCTAATAATTTGCCAGCACAGGCAGTAGCTGGAACGCAAGTCTTTCCAGTTCTGGAATCCTAATACACTTTTTGCTTTCGGTTTCTCAGCTTTTCCATGCAAGCAGGTGAACACAGGGTCAGTCCTTCTTGTCAGTTTAAACGTTATATCGGAGCACAAATAAGGTTCACATTCAGGATATAAATAGGGGTACTCTGCATTCCCCTGACACTGAGCTGACCATCTCTGTTTATTTGCAGCCGAAGCCCTCTACGACACCCACCTCGCCTCGTCCACAGGCTCAGCCCAGCCCTTCTATGGTGGGTCATCAACAGCCGACTCCAGTGTATACTCAACCTGTCTGTTTTGCACCAAATATGATGTACCCAGTCCCAGTGAGTCCAGGCGTGCAGGTAAAGCAACTCAAGTTTAATTACTGGATAGAATGTGAAGCTCTCGGCATGTTTCAGGTGATTATCTGAGTGCTCACTCTTTAAAAACTGAAGGAACTTGATGAGGCCTGTTGTGTTGGCTGTTAATGCTGAGTGCTCATGGAAGTAGACACCATTATACCTATGTACAAGTTATGTTTCATTTCTGGCTTATGCAGTTACCTAACCACAAACATGCAGAGCTGCCTCTTGCCATGGGTGTTTAAATTTTAAATTCTTATAGGAATTCCTGGAGCAATGCATTTCAAAGGGACTCTGATTCTTACTAGCTGTGTTACCCTTCCTCTGCTTTCTGCTTGCCCTCATACAACTGACAAGTGAGCTGATGTTTTCTTCCAGGTGCGCAGCAGTCTTTATGTTCTGTACTAGCATTTGTTCCCCTCTCAGCCCCTAGCCATGTTGCTAGACTGCTGTCGTCACAGAGGCTGCACCCTATATAGTAGCTTGATGAGATGTGCAGCATCTGCCGTAAACTTGACCTGTAGACTTTCTTCTGCCGATGTTATACCTTGAATCACTGTTCTCCTTGAGAGGGGATTGTTGCAGACCACATGTTCTTGGATATCTGGACACACAAACTTAATAGCAATACCTACAGGGGAGTTCTGTTACACAATAGACCTAGAGCTATCCTTACAAGTCTAGAGCACTGAACAGTTGGCCAAAATTATTGTGTTGTCTTTATATTGTCCTGACCTGAGCAACATCCTGTGCGGAGGTGAGTGAGTGAATGGTGGGGATGGAGGATTGCTACAGTAAAGCTAAAGCTGGCCTTGCAAAACGTTAAATTAATGGTCTTCTATCTTATCTGGTGGCTTCCATATGCAAGTTAAATTCTTATCACACTCTTCTGAGCTGATAGGGAATCCTGGTATTTTGGCTGAGGAGCAGGTCAGACTAGGAAAGGCTGCAGCCCTTTCAAATACTCATACCATGCAACTAGGCAAATCATCAAACTTCTATAAATGTTTGTGGTGTAGTTTCTTTCAGCAGAAGAATGCAGAGCTGTGTTACTGGAATGTGTTTCGGGTTCATTTTTTAGTAGCAACAAATTAAGAAAACAAAACCAAACTCATCTCCTTTTTTTGGATTGTAATCATTATGTGATCTCAACAAAGGACTAAAATGTCAGTATTGTGGGATAAGGTTTTACATTAAAATAAATGATCATCGTAGAGTTTAGATTACAAATGTTTTCCTATTCTTTTTCTTTTTCCTGGAAGTATGCTCTAGTTCACTGGTTCTCAAACGCTTTGGGGTTGTACACCCCATTTTAAATATTTGATGACTGCACTACCTCCCCTCATAAGTGTGGTGAGTAAGAAAAGGTAGTACTCGTGTCCCTAGAATCACACTTCAGCCACTCCACCAGCTGAAAGGTTTGTGTAGAGGTGTTTTTCAGATGTCTTTTTCTTTTCCTCCATTTAGGCTTCCTCTGTAATTATTGTGCTCTTGACACTGTTGCCATCTTTATCGTTTGTCTTGGGGAAATAAAAAAAAATGCACTAGTTCTTGGGAGAGAACACAGATTATTTCTGATTTTTCACTTGTGGTTACAAACTTACCAGAGTCAGGGCTGAAAATGCCTAGCTGATGTTTCTCAGACACAGTTTTAAATGTCCTATTCTAATCTCCTTTTTTTTTTTTTTTTTTAAATTTCAGCCTTTGTATCCTATTCCCATGACACCCATGCCAGTGAACCAAGCCAAGACATATAGAGCAGGTAAAGGTGAGAGTAATACTGCCTGTTCAGTTTAAGACTGCATGTGGCATGAATAGAGAAACAGACTTGCACAGCGTTGTCCAGATGACATTGTTACCTTGTTCTCTGCCAGTATTTATTTATTTAATCAGCATAAGTAAGTAGCAATGCGAATTCTGTGTTGACTATTAAAAATGCTGTGTGATGTTAGAATTGCATGCATCTGAATTTAGTACATGGTGACCACATTTCAAAATCCTTCCAGTATTTTGAAACATCTAGCTGCCAAACAGCTCAGTCTCCCGTATTTCCCAGATGGTGAAGAAGAGGATCTCTTTGTAGCAGTTGCAGCAGAGCATTGAGTTGGTCTCAGTAGGATATTTTTATAGTATTCTTCCATGATACCCTGCAGAAAAGAGTTTATTTTTGTTCCTCCTTGCTGTCTTGGAGGACCACTCAGAATGGCTTCCTGCTGCTCTCATGAGCTCACTAGGTTTTGAATTCATCTTGCACTCAAAGAACGGAATAAGTGCCTTAACTCGGTATTTCTAGGGCTGTACTGTGCTTCCCTGGGAGTGATGCCTGGGCATCTAGTGTGTATACATAACTGAAGGGCAGCACCTAAGTTTTAATGCACCTGGTGTGCAGAAAGCAGGAGCTGTTTTGCTATGGCCTTGTTACAGTAAATTCTTCTACGTTTGTCTGTTTTGACAGTTTGAGTTTTACATTCTTTGCTGGTTGGGGTTTAAGCCCCAGTTACTGGAGGCAGTTGAATGTGAGAGCATCTCTGCTCTGGTTTAAACATGGGTTAATACCTGTAATAGTTGTGAAGAAAAGCTAGATAAGTGTATCCTAAAGCTACAAACCAGAAAGCAAAAATAAAAACACACGAAAGGATTTTATTTTCAAATCCCCTGAGGGGAGGGAGTGCTGGGCAGTTCTGACTACATGGGATTACTATTCTGATTATACCAGTTGTGTATTGTGTTCTTTACTCTCCATGTACCTCTTCCCAAGAGGTGAGAGCACATAGGAAGTGTCAGTGTTCAAGCCATTCAAGCGTGTGTTTGGAGTAGATGAAGTCTCAGTGTAGCGTGCAGGACAGCTTTGCAGAGTGTAGCCCCTCCTAATGAAACAGTGTAGGCCTTTAAGTTTCAGAGACCACTAATATAATCCCTTTCTTCCCTGCTCTCTGCTGTCGGATGATGTGCTCTGTTCTTTTGTTTTAAGTACCTTCCTTCAGTGTTGCAGTGACTTCTGTTTTGTGACTCTGCTGTGATGCATGTTTCTCAACCATCATGTGGGGCTTGCCTTTAAATCCCAGGCACTGAAGCTCCATTTCATGTTGCCGAAGCTGCTTTTTTTGCCTTGAGAGAGCTTTTTTCTATTTGTTTTGCAAGTGAAACTCCATCCTCCCAAACAAGCTTGCTGCTGCCTCTTCAGTGTTGCTGCCCCTCTTCCTCTCGCTCTGTGGGTCTATCTGCTGCAGTGTAGCATAGCAATTACCTGAGCTGCCTACAGACAAGTCAGCTTGGGCCCTGGAACTGTGGCAGCGTGGAAGCCCAGCAGTGCTAAATTACCCTCTCTGTCCTCAGCAGAGAGAACCAGCCTGTGCTGACCTAGCTCTGGTACCTCTGTGCTCTTCTACAGTTTAGATGTACTCTTTTCCTTTTGCTAGCCCCCTTCTTCCTCCTCCTCCTAGCACTGAGTTCCTCTTTAGCTCTGACTGTGACCAAGAGATTCCTTCTGTTGTCCCATCCTTCATGGCAGCATGTAAAAGATGTGAGCACCAAATCATTGCTGGAGCAACCAACACCAGCTATGGGAAGGCAGTCACTGCGTTCTTTTTTAGACTCATATCTGTCACTTGCTTCTAAAATGCATGGTTAAAGCTGGTAGTGAGGGTATTTGAGTACATTGTCTTGTTCTAGGTCCACCCCTCTCACACGAAGTCTTCCTTGCTTTATAGTACCAAATATGCCACAACAGCGGCAAGACCAGCATCATCAGAGCACCATGATGCATCCTGCATCAGCAGCTGGCCCTCCGATTGTTGCAACACCACCAGCTTATTCAACTCAGTATGTTGCCTATAGCCCCCAGCAGTTCCCTAATCAGCCTCTTGTGCAGCATGTGCCACACTATCAGTCTCAGGTAAGACACCTTTGTGTTGGTGTCATGTCTTGGCATGTTCTTGCTTGCAGCAGGTGAATTATCAAACGTCTGTTCATTGAAGTGGGGTTGGAGTGTTGTAACCATGATGGTCCAGTAAATAAGAGAAACAAGGGTGTGTTTTTTTCAGTGATACCTAACTGTGAAAGTGCAGTGTTAATCCTAGAATTGTGAACTATACCTGTAGCAATTGTAAATGGTAAGGAGATTCTGGAGGAATACAGAATATAGACTCTGTTCAAAGTCATTTGCAGACATTAATGTAAACTTTATCAGTAAATACCTACCTCAGATATAGAATACCTGTGTCACCATTAATTATAAATATCTCTTTTGAATGAATAAGTGGGCTAGTGTTTTGATGGCTGCATATTTTCAGTCCCTGAACATAGTTTAATAGCTTTTTATTCACTGTGAACATTCCTTCTGTGTCTGCTTAGCAGTACTCTGTTCTTTTTTGTGGAAGTTACTGCTTGCATTACACTTGAAGGGGCAGTCTGGAAAAAGGTGATTCAAGTGTGTGGCTTGAGGGATGGGGGGAGAGTCTTACTTTATTTTTAACTTTAAAAAAAAAAAAAAGCTACAAGTTTCCAAATTAGCATCAAGTGCCTCTAAAGATGTACTGCACTAGCTTGAAAGACTGCTTCATTTCTGCACAAGAACAGTTTTTGACTTTCATTTTTCCTCCTGTCTTTGGCACAGCATCCTCATGTCTATAGCCCTGTAATACAGGGCAATGCTAGAATGATGGCCCCGCCGACCCATGCACAGCCCGGTTTAGTATCTTCTTCAACACAGTATGGTGCGCATGAGCAGACGCATGCTATGTATGGTAGGAAACGTTTTGTGTTACATGTAACTTTTTAAGTTGTTACATTGTGCAGGGATATATTTAATCTCAAACTTCAAATCTGGGTCTCGCATTTAAGATTCTGTAAGTAGACCTGGCCTATGAGCTGTGAAAGTAACGAGCAACACATCGCAAATTTGAGTTGCTCGAAATAAAGTGAAAATAACCCCAGGGAGCTAATTTCAACAAGGGGCAAGTGACTGACAGCAAATGCAGTTGTGAGACGCTGCTATGGTTGCAGTCTCAACCTCGTTAGATATCAGGCACCCCTTGTAAAATGCCAACTTCGTTTTTGCCCATTTTAGACAACAGAAAAACAGTAGAGTAATTCTTGTTGCAAGCAACTCAGAGACCACAAGAGCTCAGCATGCTCTTGGCACTATGGATTCCTGTTTAAAATCCCTGGGTTTATCTTGTGAATCATGTTTGTGCACTAACAGTGCTGTCATTGTGTGGCACCCTGCATTACCCTTGAAAGGATCTCAAGGCACCCCGGGATGCCATGGCATCCAGCTTGAGACTCACTGTGCTAAGAGATAGCAGCTGAATGAAGTCTTTGGAAACTTCTTGATGCTCTACGCACGACACACCCCAATTGATTTTTCTTGGGCTAATTGGGGCTGAAGTTCTGTGATGAGACCATGACTGCAGTTTTGGAATTTGAGACTTCTGTTTCTGGTAACTGGCAAACCACTGCCTTAATGCTAGTGATACTGTTAACAGTGTAAAGACTGTCATCCAAGCAAAGTGTCATTTTATGTGTAGGCTAATGTTTCCTTGGTAAACGGAATATAAATATTTAAATTCATGTTTTAAGTGTTTAGTTTCTGACTTCAGTGATGACCAGGAATCTCCAGAATGATCGGTTTGTCACCTTTTGCTTGCACCAACCTTGCTGAAATCCTGGAAAAATGAAACACTAAAAAGTCTCTCAAGCTTCATAAAAGTACAGGCAGTTGGGGCAAGGTTTTTCTTCAGAATAGGTTGTCACAGGCTGGCCCCTGAGAACATAGACCCATGGTCTTTTGGGGACTTAAAGATGGAGATAAATGTCGGACAAGGAAAGTATCTGCAGTGGGTGATGGAAGCATGTTCTCGGCATCTTCAGGCATGTCCTTTATTGCCTACTTTAACATGACTCCATTAAAATGCCTGCTTAGCTGGCTAGGTTTTCCATCAGTGGCTTAGTGAATGACTCTTAACATAGTAGCTCAGATGCAGAGCATTCCCCATTCACATTTCAGCAAGTGTCTCAAGTGTTAGCTTCTTGAAGACCTTGGAACTACTGTGCATCTGGAAGGCAACACTTCAGCTTCCATGCATCAATAGCTGGCTGTTTGCATGAGCAAATTGTAGCATTGGATAAGCTGGTGTACTGCTGCCAGGGTAGACTGCTATAGGGCACTTTGCTGGATACACTCATAATAGCTTAAACTAGGCAACACGAGCGCTTAAGATGTCTGCAGTTTTGACTTGTACTGTAAGAGGATATCTGTAATAACATTTTTGTAGGCGTGTATTACTTTCTTAAAAATCTTAATTTTCCCTTCAACATCTGTAAAGTGGGTATGACAGCACATCTTGGAAAGCACTTTTCAAACTGATGTTAATTTTTTCAGAGCTGTTTGGTGAATCTAGAGTAACAACTTCCTTCTGCATGATTTTTGCCATGCACAGTTAGGAATAACAGCCACTACTTCTGTTTTCTAGAATAAAGTCACTCAAGCAAGTTCTCATTTACTTCTGCCTTTTTATTTTTATTCCCTGATTATTTTTTTTTTTTAATTTTTCCCCCACTGCTTTGGGGATGAAGTGTATTAAGGCTCCTCTGTCCATCAATGTAATGGATGATATTTTGAGATACCATTTCATTGTTCGTGGAAGAACTCCATTTGCTATCAGATTTGTTCTGTGTGCGCGCTTGGGTGTTTTGAGGAAGAAGTCTGCAAGCTGCGCTGGGGAGTACTGCTTACAAAACATTTTGCTTTTCTAGCGCTTCCTTAAAATGGGAAAGGTGCTCCAGCAAGAACTGAAACTCCACTTTTGTAACTTGGTTGTGTTACTCGCCTCAAAAAATAGTCACCTGTTGCAGAAGAGAAATAAGCTTTTTTCTGCCCATTTGATTATCTAGCCACTCTGCAAAAAGGTTCTTCATGCCAGAAGACACTGAATCTGAAGTGCTTCTGATAGCTCATGCCTGGTGAATCTTTCTGACTGCAAAGAAAAGTGTTTGAAGCACTCAAAGACACCCCCCCACTTTGTTTCTGCTGTGTAGTTGAATGGGTTTGCCAGATACGTCCAGTACCAGGTAACTCCTGGGGATCTGGCTGGCTTCTTCCTTACTGCTCTTAGCTATTGCATGCTTCTGTTGTTGTTTCTTCAGCTCCTGGAACAGGAGCATCTTCAAGGGAAGCAAAGTAGCTGAACTTCATGGCCACCAAAACCCAGGAATTAGTGCTGTACTCAACTGCGTGCGTGTGTCTCAGTAATGGCACTTTTAAATACTAATATTAAACAATCCATTGATGCAACCAAGTGGTAGAGCAGGAAATGATTGTAAAAAAAAGCCTCCGATACCTGCCTGATTTGGGTGGTAAGTTTCAGCCACTTAAACAACGTGGTTTAAGTGCCTAATCATGGAACAAAGCAGCAGTATTTGGCCTTAACTGTCCAATAAAAACAACTTAATGCTGGATCATCCCTCCTGCCCTATTAAACCACCTGCTTGTCCCAAAGAACAGTTGGAGCTTCTTGCCTCCCCTAAACTATGGGCCACTTATTGCCATGTTATCCGCCATGGCTCAGTGCACCTTTTTATCACTGATCAGTGAAGTTTACTGGACCAGTCACTGAAGGGGAAACTGAATTTGTCTGGTTGCTGTCACCTGCAGAATGATATACACTGGGTCTGGTTTGCCAGGAGAACCCCTGACAATTTTAAGCTGTGAGGGCAAATATATTCCTGTAACAATTAACTTTCAGTAGTTTAACTATTTTTTATTCAAATGACTCTGTTTTAGATAACTGCTGTCTGCTGTGAAAACTTCCCTGTGTGTTCTAAAGGCTTTGTATAAAACCAGTACTTGGTTTTACACAAGAGAAATTATTAATTCCTTTGCTTGTTCTTGATCCTCCTTCTCTTCTGCACATGTTTTTATTGGTCTGGTGTTTTCTCTAACCCTATCTGGTTTTCTGTCTCAGCAGTAGAATAAATTCTCGTATCCTAACTAGTACAGTGGTGGGTATGTTATAACCACCCAGTAACTCGGGGACTAAGAGCAAACCGATCACCTGACTTACAGCGCTGTTAAGAACACTAATAGTGCTGTTGAAAAAGAAGGGCCAATTTGTTTGCTTTATTACAACTGTTAACTCCGTCACTGAAGTTTATTAGTGAAATATCCTGGCCCCCTTAACAGATGTACTCTTTATTTTATTTTTATTTGTATTACATTGTAAATCAAGAGCAACTGGAGACCTTGGTGTTACCGTTCAGACAGAGGCCTCACTGGGACTTATTTATATCAGTGTCACTATGTTAGAAATTTTGCTGCCAATCTCCAGCAGTACTAACTGAACAAATACATATATCTGCATGAACCTACAATCTGCACAAAATGAATGTTGACCTTTCCAGAAGAGTGGAATCATGCACATGGCAAGAGGCTAATTTACCTTTCTATTTCCCAAATTCAGCATGTCCCAAAATACCATACAGCAAGGAGACAGGCCCTTCTTTCTACTTTGCCAGTGAGTTGGGTTTTTTGTACTAATTTTGATTGTACAGAAAAGCACTTTCTGAAGAATAGGTGTTTAAAGGAATGAACATGGTAAAGGAGTAGTTCTTTTTGCATCAAGCCAAAAGACAGAAAAATGCAGGAAAGCTACTTTCTGTGAACCTGGGAAAGGAGCTGTTGAATGACTGACCTTACAGGCACCTAGAGCTAATGCGCAGTAGACTGACCTGTCTGAGAAATGGATGCATTTAAATGCATTTGCGCTTGCTGAGTGAATGTCATGCTTTGTGCAACAAACGCTGCATTCAACCAGTCTGTGCTGGATCTTGAAATGAAAATGACCCCCAACCACATCTTCTGTCCCAGCTGTCATCTGCAACCAAAATGCCTGTGCTGTGCAGGGGTGACCAAACACTGAGCATCTCTAAGCTTACAACCTCTGCAAACTTCTCCTTTTCCTCTGCCCTTTCCCAAAGATGGGATTTTTGGGTGTCTCTGGGTTAATTGGGAAGGGAATGCTAGTACTTTACCAAGAACAAAATGCTGAGGTCTGAACTGTGAGCCCTATGGGAGGACCAGGTCCTGCACTCCAGTGGTAGTTGCAGGAGATGGCTCCATGCTTGGCACCATGTTCTTTGCTGGTGCCTGGGGGTGGGTTCCTCCCTGTCAAGTTGAGCACTGCCACATGCATTACCTGGCCTTGCAGTCCTTGTCCAGTGCCAGCATGCCAAGTGGCAAGCTGGTCTCTGCAGCCTCATTCCTAGCATATTTTAAATGGCCCAAGTCTAGCTTATCTGTATGCATTGAACAAGAGCGGTGAGTAGTCTTCGTGAACTGTTAGCAGGCCTCAGTCACCCCTAATTGCAAAAGCAGAACGGTGGAGGAGGGAAGATCTGGCATAGGCCAACTGAAACAAATGGACAAGGGAAATACTGAGGATTTGATTCTTTTGCTGGCGGCCCCTGTGTTTGGGATCGGGAGCATAGAGCCCAGTTACCATTCCAGAGTGAAGTATGTTACTCTTAATATGCAAACCAGCAAGCAAGCTTTTCCTTTAGTGAGGACAGTGGTTCCAGCAGCTATCCACGGCTGGGCTGAGGCACGGGCATCCAGCCCTGCCCACTGGATAGCTCTGCTGGGAAGGGTGGGACCTCACTCCTGGGTCTCCCCAGCCTGCTCCTGTACTGCAGCAAGCTAGTAAATGTTTCCATCTGCCTGTGTTCGTAGCAGCCATCTGCTCTTTTGTACCCGCCTGTCTGTAGGTCAGCTCATTCAAGAGGATATAAGAACATGTAACTCCTGGTCCTGAACACGTGCTGGATTTGAAAGGATGGTAACCTGGCTTTTGTCTGGCATGCAGGACGTGCGGAGTGACTCTTGTTGGCTGCCAGGCTGCATACCAGACACTGGCTCGGATTCCCTGGAGGGGGTTTCAGTGTGTTCACACGTCTTGGTTTGGTGCATTGAAATCCTTTTACCATGTTCATTCCTTTAGTAGGTATTCTTTTAAATGACTCCATTGTACATGTGTAAAATGACTTTGTATGTGTTTATACCATGAAAGAGACCTTGTTATTTCTTTGCTTCCTACCATTCAAACTGAGTCTTTTAAATGCAGTTATCCTCACCATCTTACTGGGTCTGGCAGTAGCCTTCAAGCCAATTCCTTGGTCGGTATCTGGAATAGTAGGGTCCACCTGGCCAGTGCCACTAAATCCCTAGTCAGCCCTGACCTTTCTGAAAGGGAAATGGGAGCTTCTGTGGTGAAGAGGTTGACTTCAGCCTGGGGCCAGTTGTTCTCTGTGTGGTCTCTGCTGCTCTCATTTTTTCATGTGGGCTATATCTGTGGCCTTGCACTGTCTGTCTTTTTCCCCTTTTTGTCTGCGGTTGTCACCCATGTCAACTCTGGTGTGTTTTTTTCTGGCTTGATTTTAGTTGGGGTGAATTCAATTAAAAAACCCTTCTGGTGTTTTGCCCAATCTAATGCCGAACTGCTTATTTTACCTGGCTATTGCTATCGAAATGGCAGCCACATTGAGAATCTGGCTTGTTTAGAAGATGCTGTAGGTGTGAAGTAAATCACCTAGTGCGTGTTGCTAGGAAATGAGAGATCATGACTTAGGGGTGAGAGAGAGCATTTCTGCTGAAGGTGAGACGATTCGATTGCTCAGACTGAGGCGGCATGGCTAAATCCTTAAGTAGAGCTTTCTCCGCACTTTACCCCATGTTGGGGAATGGGCATTCAAAACACTGGTATCGGCTTAAGAAGGAACGCTTCACCGTGTGTCAGGGTGACACGCTGCATCAGTTCGCGATGTCTGCTGTATCCTAGCACAGGTGAGAACTAAACCCTGGTAATTCTGGCAGCTATTTCATGCAAAGGTAAAGTGTCCCACAGTGCGGCTCCCACTTACTACAGAATTGAATGCACATGCTGAACAGCTGTAATGCATCTGATGATTCATGTTCATGAGCAGTAGTCCCCCCACCCCTTTTAATTTGGCAGAATTGTTTCATCTCTCTGTACCCTTTGACAATAAACTGTGGAAAACCACAGCCCTGCTTATGGGGCAAGGAAAGTGTAATATGACTTCAGCTGGCTTGTTAGTTATACTTCCTTTCTGTGGTAATAGAGATGACTCAAAAATACATGTAGGGTGACTCTTGATGAACAAACCCTTTTTTAATCAGCTGTCATAGTAAAGGCAGCTTGATTGTTTCTAGAATGGTAAATTTTCATGACTATTTTGCAAGACTACTTTATGTTCTTGATACTTCTGTGTATAGTAATCAAGTGCCACCATCATTTAAATCTCCCTAGAACTAACTGATGCTGAAGAAGCTTACTTTATATGGAGATCAGTGAGAGCACATACGCAGTTTTCTCCCACACGTGATAATAAAAGGGAAGGAAAGGCCTTTACAAAATGAAATGCTGTCTTAACCTGTTTATGGGATGATTAGCATGAGGAATCAATAGCTCTGGAAAACCAGTTTCTTTAGAAATAAATTTAAAAAACCTTTTTCGAGTGACCTGAATTGAAGTCTGCACCATGGCAGTATGAAAGGTTCCCACCACTTTCAATTTAACTGACTCTGATTCTCTTGAGGCTTAAATGGATTTCATACAAAGGTTTTACTCAAGTAAGAAAGCTTCAGGAAGACTAAAAGAGGAATTATTCTTCAGTTTTACCATTAAAACAGAACTTGCTGCAGCATCTGACATAGAAGTTATACCTAAAAAACCTGAAGCTGACTGAAGTAGGTTATGAAGATAAATGCACTGCAGAGATGGAAATCTGAGATTTCAAGCGGCAGTGAATCCCAGGTCTTAAACCAGAAATCTGCTGACAAACAGCGTTCTCTCCCCGGCTGTGGACATAAGGCCGTCGGATACATTGCCGGACGCCAGTGACTTACTTTTGTTCCTCTGCACTTAGATTGCTCGTGAGGACTAGACAAACGTGCGCCAGTGACTTGCCTGCCCAGTCCATTCTTCAGCACAAAGTTTGTATGCTCGAGAGAGATTTGTGGTAGTCTCTTATTCCTCTGTAGCTTGAGGAATGACCTCTCCTGAATGAAGGCTGGCTGGATGTGGGAAACTTGGAGCATCTTATAGCTTGAAATCCTGCTTCGGTATCCCTGCCTGGGTGGAACTGAGCTTCCTCGGCAGGGAGGCAGGATCGCTTTGTGGTTAAGACCGTGGAAGGGCTGGATGCGGTTCCTAGTGCTGCGTAACCTTTGGAAAAGAACTGAATCCCTCTGCCTCCGTTCCCCATCATTAACATGGAGATGCTTCCCACCTGCCTTGGACTAGTCATAGGAATATATCAGCACAGAGCCAGTACAATAGAGTAAGAGGTCCCTGAAGAGAGGAAATGTAGAAACGGAAACAAGGAGCTGGTTTTGAATTGGAATGTGTAAAACGCCCCGTTCAGCCGATCTTGCAGGAAGCGAGAAATACGTCACTGCTTTAGGCATCTGGTGCCACTGCCGATGAAACCCTAGTAGCAACATGAAAAAAACAAAACAATGATTTAAATTTGAGCATCAAAACAGTTTATCAGGGCAGGATCCCAGTTCTCATTTGTCAGCACAGGAACACGGACAGTTTCAGGCAGATTTTGCAGCTCAAAAAACTGAACTCCCAGCTCAGAGTGTCTGTGGGACATCCGTTTCAGTGCTGTAACAAGAGGCAGGCTCAAAATAACACCTTCATCCCGCAGCTCAAAAGCCTTGCGATGTCGTCTCCGCATTGCAGAATCTGACCTCGGTGGATGCCACTGTTGTACTGTTGGCCTGAAGCAGGAGGTCAGAGAAGACTTAGTGATGCCTTTTAAAGGACAGACACATTATTTTAGAAGGGTCGAATGTGCTGTAAGACCTCCTGCACGGCTGTTGCAGGAGAAGTAGCCCTCTGGTAGTGGGGCAGCGTTGAAGTGACTGATCAAACAGAAGGCAGTAGAGAAGTAATAGCAAACTGGCTTGGGAAGTGTTGGGCAACTGAGTGACTGGGACATGTCTGGGGTACACAGCAAAGCAATACGATAGCAGGAGTGTCCTTTATTGGAGGCATTTACACTTTTTGTCTCCTTTAACCCCCTTCTCAGAACAGTTGGATGAGAGCTCTCTGTTTTCGTGTGCGTGGAGCCGTACAGGGGCCCTGCACTCAGTGACGTGAGCACAGCTGGGGGCAAGAGTTGGGTTCAGGACCTAGGGAGAGTTAGATGCAGTGCCACTGGAGCACTGCCTCCTGCATCCTGTCGCAGGGTTGGAAGGAGTTAATGCCCAGTTGGAGTATGTAGTGACTCTGCATGGCATCTGGGAGCTATACCTGGTTTGGTGGCTTGTGTTCTCAACTTGTACAGGATCAAAAAACTGCAAGTGTTGGGCAGCATCTCTGTTCCTCATGGACTGGCACAGTTGGTTAAATTTCCCCTCAGTGGTGCGGTGAAGTTTGTTTTTGGAGCTGCTTGCTGTGGCTTCAACCTCAGAGCAAAAGGCCAACAGTTGTCCATTTTGTAGCAAAATGTGACCAAACCTTTCACTGGGGACCTTCTGAATATGTTGGTTTTATTGTCGGGGGATACCCGGTAGCTTGCACAGCTGAAGTTGATACATGATGCTTGGTTTGGGCATTTAAGTTGTCTTCCGCTGGTGGTCAGTTTTCCGTTGAACACCAAAAGGCTTGCAGACTGGGAACACCAAGGCATGAGAGGAAGAGGGGACTTTTGTTTTTCACATACAAGATACCAGTTGTAACTAAAATTGGCTTTTATGAATATACCATTGGTCCCTTTTAACTTACTTGCATGCGCATGGTATGTGTCGGTGTACATGTAAAATGCATGCACTGACCGAACTATGAGATCTCCAGAAAAGTAGCATGGTGAGGTTAGCTAGATATAAGGCCAAAGACTTTGTGGATGGTGGAAATTACCATATTTAAAAAAAAATTCTGGAAAAAGTAAATTCTGATGCAGCTATTTCCAAACTGTTTGGGCTGGTCCATGTGACTAAAAGCAAAGATAAAATACTGCTCTTGTGACGGTGTCCAGTACCTGTTACATCGTCAAGCTGAATTATTTAATTACGGTTATTTATAGGCTTTCCTGCCAAACTGGGCAAACTTTACAAAAGCAAGTGTAAATTTGTAGAGCTGAGGTAAGGTGTTTAGGTAATACCTGTTCAGGGAAAAAGGACCAATTTCTAGTAGCAGTAGCAGGCAATCATGTCCTCCAGTGGAGGCAGCTGTGTGATAATGGGCATTTGAAGTCCTGGGTCTCACTAACTTCCTCTTCCATTCTAGTTTCCACTGGCTCCCTTGCTCAGCAATATGCCCATCCCAATGCTACGCTGCATCCGCATCCTTCTCACCCGCAGCCATCTGCCACGCCAACAGGCCAGCAGCAAAGCCAACATGCCGGAAGCCACCCTGCTCCCAGCCCAGTGCAGGTATCTGTGCGTGGGGGGCACTGCCTCACCTGCTACTTTGGCATCTTTTGTTCAGAGGGAAAATCTGTGCTGAGGAGTATCAGTTCAGGGGGCCAATGTAACCTCCCTAGAAACTGTGTTCAAGATGCCTGTCAAGGAACTGTGGGGTGCTGGGGATTTAGTGGTCGTCTTCTTGTGTTGTCCTGTGAGCCTGAGATCCAGCCCATCGCACTGGGATGAGGGTGAAGAGGAGGAAAGGTAGTGGCTTACCTGGCTGTGGGGAAATAGGTTGGTTCTGCAGGCATCTTGCTGTGGTCCCTTCCCTGCAGCCTGGGTTGTGAAGGTGCGCAAAGGGAGCATTGTGCCATGGCTGAGCTCGTCTCTTGCAAGTGGGTGCGGACACGCAGTGGGTGCCTGGACATGCGTTCTGGGAGTGTCAATTTTGAGCAAAGTGTCCTGGCTTCCCTGTGTTGAACCGTGTGCGTGGGGCTGTTCCCTGGGTGCTAGCGTGGATGCGCACAAGCTAGCTCTAATCTCTCCTCCTCCCACGACATTGTCTTTGCAGCACCATCAGCACCAGGCCGCACAGGCCCTCCACCTGGCCAACCCGCAGCAGCAGTCGGCCATTTACCACGCGGGGCTCGCCCCGACCCCGCCTGCCATGACACCAGGCTCCAACACACAGTCTCCGCAGAACAGCTTTCCTACAGCACAGCAGACCGTCTTCACCATCCATCCTTCCCATGTTCAGCCTGCCTATACCAATCCGCCACACATGGCCCACGTACCCCAGGTAAACCCACTTTGAAGCCTTCCAGAAACATCGTGTTGCCTGTTTCACGTGGCTAACTTGGTCGGGGGGAGTGGACCCTTCTAGCAGCACTTCCCCCAGCATTGGCTAGTAGCTGTGTTGCTTAGGTCTCTTTGTCTAATGCTGTTTAAGAAAGCTGGAAGCTCCATTAGATGCCCCAGAGCATGGTAACCCCCATGTTTCCAAGACGGCTTCTGTGGGGCTCCAGTCCAGTGCTTGTTGAAACCCATTGCAAACACAAGGCCCAACCCTTTTAAGGCCAGCTAATGGGTAAATGCTCATGACAGCTTTGGGAAGCCCTGAGAGGGTAAGGACCTTGTGACCTCACTGCCAGCCCTTTCGCTGGTCAGCCTTGGGGTGAGAGCAACCAAGATTCAGGTTAGACAAAGGCAAGGAAG